CATGTTTACAAGGAGGATATTTAAGTTGTGAGGACTAGAAGTGTAGAGTTGTGTCCAGGAGCACCATCCCAATCGCTGGCTGCTGACTGGAACTGGCGCTATGGCTGGTTCCTTCCTCAGGGATGATCCTTGCCAGGACAGGACCCCACAGAACTTTAGCATTACAGAAGAGCTGCCAGGCTGGCAGGAGAGAAGACTCGAGCCTCCCTTGGTGGCACTGTGAGTGGCAGGCTCAGCATTATGGCAGTGAGAAGGACAAAGCCCCGGCACTCCGCTGCACCTGCGTTGGGTAACACCTGGCCAGGCGGTGACGCCAGGGACACAGGGGTGGGGGCAAGCAGTTTCGGTCGGGGCAAGAGCAGAGGCATCCAAACCGGTGATTACCGTGGCCCTGAGCTGCTAAGTGGAGGAAGTCTGTGATTAGTTGACACCTCCAGCCAGGCTTTGGATTTTAAGCTGGTCTGGAGCAGGGGTGGATGACAACTGCTTTATTCACTGCTGATACAGTGAATAAAGCAGTTGTGAATAAAACTGCGGTGAATAAAGCAGTGAATAAACTGAAAACACAGCCTAGGTGCAATATCAGGATATGCTAGTGGTGGATATGCAGCAAGTCCCCAGGGGCTTTGGGGGTGCTCATGGGGAAAGGTGGGGTTTGGTGCTGTGGCTTTGAGCCCTGGGCTGAGATGTCCAAGGGCTTGGGGCAGGACTTTGTGTTGGGTTTTTTGAATAAACTTCCCTTCACCAGCCACTGCTGTAAGTCTCATGCAGCCGTGAGAAGTAAAAAAACTACACCTTATCTCAGAGTCCTTATCCCTGAGCTTCGGGATTCTTCTGTTTGCAGGCGGCTACCAGAAAGGGAAGAGAGGACCCGTGTATCAGCTGTGCCACTGGACCCATGGCACAGCTGATACCAGGCCTGTGTTTAACTCCATGCAGGGAAGAATCTCCCACTATGTCAGGCTGTCCCAAGGGTCCCCACCCTGCAAGTGTAGGTTGTTCATGGTCTATCCCTGCAGCACAGCAGCACTCTGGCCTAGCCAGGACCCAGAGGACCATTGTCCCAACCCCGGAGCCAGGAGGGTTCAGGCTCTACAATGCCCCTAAAGCTTGCCAGAGTGAGGAGTTAGGTTGATGTCTACATACCTGGCTGCTGCTGGCAGGTAAATCCCAGCTGTTCTCACCCCAGGGTGAACATCACTGAGGTTTGGCAGAGCAATTGCCCACCTACAACCCCTCCAGCACCCATCTTAGGGTCAAATGGGTGAGAAAAATATAGCAACAATGAAAAAAATTGGTGAGAATGACACTGAGGGTGCGGAGCCTCCAACCCTTTCCTGTTTGGACAATTTGTGGGGTTTTGCCAATCAGCCACTTCCATGCGGAGGTGCCAGGGCAGTGCAGGGCAGCACTGGACCAACAGAGAGCCTGGATAAGACCAGGCATTGTCCAAAATGCCTCCCCCACAGCCAGTGCATGCCCCAGGGCTCTGCCCGCCCCATCTCGCCTGTGCCATGCAAACAGATCAGCCAGATTAGCCAGCACCGGGGTCCAGCCTCTTCCCAGTGAGATATCCCGAGAAGGGTATTTATTTAAGGTTAAAAGCGTGACCTTGCCAAGTCTCATAGGGCTGGGAGGATGTGGACTGAAAACCAGTCCTTGATAGATGTGGCATCTCACCCCCCTGCCAGCTCTGTCCCAGCCTGGCACCAATGCAGCTCTCGGAGAGGCTGCGGCTGCACCCAAGGTCTTGATCCCTAGGAGAGGACTTAGCAACCCATGGGATGGGGTCAGTGGCTTTGTCCCCCCAGCACCCAAGGTTTTGGTCTCTGGAAGGAGAATTTGCATCCCATGGGCGAGGGCTTGGTGGCTATGCCAGCTCTGGCGTCCACAGAGAGCTTGGCACACCCTGACACACAAATCAGGCTGGCTCTCACATTTTGGAAGCCCACAGGCTCAGAGCTAAGCATCCCTTGGGAGCCCATCAGCTCAATTTCCTGCACTTTGAGCAAAGGACAATCCGGGCAGACGCTGCACAGAGCTGTGACTCCCTCTGGTGCCTGCCCCGTGGCCCGAGCTCGCTCTTCTCTCTTTCCTCATTCCACAGGAGGGAGGTTTGGGGTGCCCCAGCTGGCCTTGGGGCAGCCCTGGGGTGGTGGGTGAGTGGGGACCGGAGCTAAACTCGTACGTGGGCAGCAGCTGTGGGAGCTGCTGGGCTGTGGAACTCGGGATGTGCCGAGCACCCGTGTGCCAGGGCCCGAATTTGGGGGTTGGGAGCTGCTTTTGGGGTGCTGGGGGCAGGGATCTGCCTGCAGATGGAGCTCCTGGCTCGGCCGCTGGGCTCGGGGAAAGGGCTGGAGAGAGCTGATGGATCCGAATTTCTCCTTCCTGAGGACCCCACAGTTCTTTTGGGGTTCACAGACCACAACAGATAAAGAGAGGCGGTGCTGAAGGTCTCCCTGCTGGGCAGGGGCTGGTGGTAATTAATCCCTGATTAAATTAATTACCCAAAAGCTTTTGGTCTGAAAGAGGTGGGAGGAAGTGCCCCCAAAACCGGACATTATAAAAGTGAATCTCTGCAGATTCAGCAATTGATGTCAAGGGAAGGGGAGGTGGTTTTGGGGATCTGGTGGTGTCCCAGCGCCTGCAGCCTGAGCCTTCCTCCCCCAGGAGGAGGAGGAGGAGGAGGGTGTGCAGGGTGGGCCGTAGGGAGGGAAGGGCTGCTGAGGGAGCTCTGCCTCCTCACCACAACCCTGGGGCGCAAATGCTGCAGCTATTCCGTGCTCCCGGATTTGGGCTGGAAACTGCACTTCTTGGACTGCAGAGGTGCTGTCCCACGGGCTGGGGGGACCCTGGGAGAGCTCAGCGAGGCAGCACCTGCACCTGCTGGGTCCTGATGGCTTGACACGTGTGTCCAGGCTAAAACATCCTGTTTTCTCCTTTTTGGGGAGCAGGGACATGGGGGGAGCTTGCTGAGAGCCAGATTTGGCCTTTCTAGGGGCTGAGCTCAGTTCTAGGGGCAGATGAGGACAGAGGCAGGGTCAGATTCCCGTGGCTCCCTCAGGATGGCAGATGCCTGGGGAGGCGTGGGGGCTGCCTGTGGGACCCTCGTGGTGCCCAGGGCACGGGATAGCCACAGGGTCAGCAGCTGCTGGGGCTAGCTCGCTGCTTCAGGGATTACACTGATCCGCTCCAGCTGCCCTGCTGCGTGCTGAAGGATTTCTGAGTCTTACACGTGTTTTCCCTGCTAAATTGGAGGTGTTTATGTCCACAGTGCAAGGGCCAGCTCAGGGTTTGCTTTGATCCCTAAGATCCCAGCTGGGTCAGGGGAATTGTGTGACTTGGCCTGTGTGTGGTGGGAAATCAGATGTTTGAAAGTTTCTTTTGGAAATGGAGCTCTGTATGGCAGCAGATTTAGGGCTAACATCCTGAACCTGCTGACTGTCCTTATGGCTCTGCAGACTCTTACAGTTTCTGCTCTGTTGTCAGCATTGTGACTCCTATCTTGGCTGTACCTCTTTTGGGCTCAGCACTTTTCCTCAGAAATCAAATTTCAGACTCTCCCATGTAGTTTTTAACCCACTATTTGTTCTCTTCACCCAGGTGGTCTCTGGTCCTACTGGCAGCAAGAAACTGAATGAAGCCATGCCCCTGCCTCTCCCTGTGCCAGCTGCAGTGGGATCCTCATGGATCGTGTTGGTCTTGGATGTGTGGCTGATCCCCACCCCCTCCTCCTCCTCCTCCTCCTCAGCTGCCCCCACAGAACCAGTTCTGCCCCACTGTGCAATGACAGTTCCAGCTCAGCCCAGCCTTGCCCCTGCCAAACAGCACCCTTGGAGCAGGGCTGTCCCCTCCTGTCCCGTCCCCTGTGGTGACAATGAAGGTGTGTACATCTCAGGAGCAGCCCCACCTGAAACGCCTTTGGGCCTGACACCCACCTCCGCTGGCCTGGCAGCACCCATGGGTGCTCTCCCAGCTGTGGGCAGGTGGCAAAAGCCATTCTGCTCATCAGAATGAATCACTGGCTGTGCTTCACACACCGCTGTGACTCCTCAGTGCCTGTGGCTCTAGAAATGGGCTTTCCTAATGCACGCTCTTACAGTGGAAATGAAACCTCAGCAGGTCTCTGATGCACTCTCAGCTCTGCCCCTTTTTCAGCAGCTTGGGTTTTTTAAAATTGTTATTAATTTTTTTCCAGAGGATGATGACAGTTCCCTGGGGCTTGGTGTAACTTGGGTGTGAGGTTTGCTTCCCTGCAAATCCCAGTGATGTGATGTTACTGGAGGTGCTGAGCCCATCCTAGTTTGGGGCTAGTGATGGGTGTAGCAAACCAGCCTTATTGCAAATCCTTATGGATTTGATGGATGTCAATGTTCATTAACGTTTTGGTGGATCAGTTGAGCTGATTTGAGGTTTGGTAAGGAGAAATGACAAAGCAAGAAGAAACCCAGTGCTGCAGCGAGGAACAATGTGTTTTTAGCCTTCCTTTGTAAAGAAATAGAGCTTTGGAGGCCCTGTACTGTGCAGGGCCATCCCTGAAACTTTTGGATGCCAGTGTCTGGGTGATGAGTCAGGAGGCAGTGATGGAAAATGGGGGAATTTCATACAGAATCGGGTCAGAAGAGAAGAGAAGAGGAGACCCTGCGGGGGTCAGAGCTGCGAGGGACAGGTTTGGGGTGAGCTGGTCCCTGGCCCCGGCAGAGAGGGGGTGTGGGGGGCTCCGCGGCAGCAGTAGCTCGGGCACACGCAGCCCCTCCTTCTGCAGCCTGCTCCTGCCTCTGGAAAAGGCCGATTTTCTCCCCAAAACAGCTCCCACGTGGGACAGGCAAGGTTTGCTCCCTCTCCCTTGCAAAAGCGAAACCCTATCCGTGTCCTCAGCGCTCCGCTTGGGTTTCTCAGCGCTGTTCCTGGCACTTGGCTCCTTCTCCTCCAACATTTCCATTGCCTCTCTCCGTCTTTTTTCCGCTCCTTCCCTCTGTCCCCGCCGAGCATCCAGCACACGGCTGCTGCCCTAAATGTGCCGCGGAGGCGGATTATTGCCCCGGTGCATCTGCATTCCCCTCCTCCCGGCGCTGCTCCGCTCCTCCTTCCCCGATTCGGCTCCGGCGCTGCCGTGAGTAGGGAGGAGCTGTGCTGTGTCCCTGTGCTGGGGGTGGCTCGGTGGCTCTCCGGCCCTCCCCGCCGCCCGTGTCCTCCTTGGATTGTTCCTTTTTTTCCATCCCTGCCCTTCCCGTGTCCTTCGGTGAGCCCGCCCGCGGTGGTTGGGGGCGCGGGGTGATGCTCTGGGGGTGACACCCTGCGTGTCCCCGCTCACAGGGACATGTCGCTGGAGGATGGGGACCCGCTGAGGCCGAGGGGACAGCAGCTCAGCGCTGTCCCCCGGCTCACGGAGATGCGGGACCACTCGCTCCGGACACCCGGTGGCATTGGGACAGACGCGATGGCAGCAGTGGGTGACAAGGACGTGACCCCCGGAGGAGCCTCACAGCGAGAGTGGCAGCCCGAGGAAGCCCTGATGACCGAGCTGGCGGAGCTGGTGAAGGAGGTGGTGAAGAGCAGCAGCTGGTGGGAGCGGCACGGCGTGGACATCAGCATCCTTGCCTGCAGCATCCTCCTGCTCCCAGCAGGTAACCCCGCTCAGCCCCTCAATCCATGCTGGCTCCCACTGCCTCCTGCTTGTGCTGGGAGCCTGTTGGCACCTGCTGGGGTTGGAACAAAGCCACAGTAACACCTTCACCCCGTGACTTGGTGCGCCCTGAGCCCACAGCAGGTGACAATGACACCTGGGGTACAGCCTGGGCTGAGGGGACAGTGGTATCACCTGAGGGGATGGTGCCCAGGCAGATGTGCACAGGGCAGGACAGTGGGTGATGTGTCCCACCACGGGACGTGGTGGTTTTGGTGGCAGTGGCCCTGGCTGTGGTGGGTGCAAGAGAAAACAGTTGAGCATGGGTCTCTGGTGGCATGGCTGGGAACTTCTCTTGCTGTTGAATTCCTGGGGATGCTGAAATCCTGGCAGAGTTATGACACCAGTGGAATCCCACATCCCAGAACTGTGGGGTGGGATCAGGCACCTGCAGCACTTGCTGCCATCGAGGCTGGAAGCGGCCAAATCTTCAGCACAAGGGTGAGTGTGGCTGGTCTAGTCACGAGGATGACGAGGAGGCAAACTCTGACTTGCATGGTTTAAATACCTGTAACTACAGCTGAAGAACAGGTTTAGGGCAGTGGCTGGCGTGTTTGGGTGTAGCAACACCTCCAGCCTGGCTCAGAGGGCTGCAGGACGTGTGCATGGCCCAGCTCCAGCCTGGCTGGTTTCTCCACAGGGTTCCTGTGCCTGCGGTCAGCCCAGGCCGTCCCTTTCCTGGCGGGTGTCCTCAGCCTTGGCGTGGTGCATCACACCCTGACTGTCAAGGGCAGCCACCTGGCCAGCCACAATGCCTTGACCGAGTCCAAGTCCTGGGGCAAAGTGTGGGCTGTGTTCTTCATTGAGGTGAGTGGGGCAGCCCCCAAAAACACCCCATCAGCACCTTGTGGTGGTGGGGAATGTTTGGAATGGTGGGAAAGGTTTCTAGTGCTTAACTCCTAAAAGTCCATTTCCAGACTGGTTTGGGGCTGTGGGGCTGTGGGGTGCTTCATTATGGTTTCAGAGCATAAAATGCAGGTTTCTCCAGGTTCTTCCCACACAAGCCCAAGCCAGACAGTGCCCAACCCTTGCACCACAACTTCTCTCTTTTCCCTCCCAGCTCTGCTCAGCTTTCACAGTCGAGCAGGCCACCTACAACCATGTGAAGCTCCACCACGGCTACACCAACGTCATTGGCCTGGGGGACTCCAGCACGTGGAAACTTCCTTTCCTGAACCGCTACGTTTACATGTTCATCGCTCCTCTCGCAGTGCCCATCCTCACCCCTCTGGTTGCACTTGGTAGGTGTCCCAGGTGCCTTGGGACAGGCTGCTGGGTGTGGGAAGCTTGTGACTGCCCAGGTCTCACCCCACCCAAGGGTCCTGCTTTGTTTGGAGGCATCACATTAACTACACCAGTCTCTGGTGGGACACTGCAGGAAGCGCAGGAGATGCTGCACTTGCCCTGGGAACCACATCTTCTGCACCTACTTTCTGCTGGTGCTGAGAAAACACTTCACCTTTTCCTGTGCTGGATGTTGAAATCTCTGGCAAAAGCCATCATGATCCTGCAGCACCCCAAATCCATTCTCCTTTAACTCAGATCTGTGGCCATAAAGGGGTCAGTCTCACACGTGGGTCTCAGGTTGATCAGAGCACTACACAAGGTGGTCGTGTACTGGGTGGTTTGGGGCCAGAGGGGGCCAGACACAAAGAGCTTGGGCAGGAAAGGTGGTGCTACAGGGAAATAATGGTGCAGAACACAATCAGGGAGAAGAGCCCAGAAAACAGCAAGAGGCTGGGAAAGCAAAGCTCTCCATGCTCATGACCCAGCTCTGGGCAGTGCCAAATGCACAAACAATGGCTTGGTAAATTGTAAGAAACGAAGGTGCATCCAAATCTCCTGAGTGATGTTGCACAGCCGGATCAGCTGCTCTGAGGAGTCTCTCAGACCCACACCCCAGCAGTTTTATAGGGTTTGGGCCAACCTGGAGGATGGGGAAAGTGAGTTCATGTGCTGGGCTGGGCTGTGGGGCTATTGGCACGCTGGGCAGCCTGACTGCTGGAGCAGCAGTGGTGGGAGGGAAACATCAACACCTCTGCCATGTGCTGCCTCCTCCTCCTTGTGCAGATTTATTGAGGAGCGTGGAGTGGAAGGCAGCTCTCCGGACCCTCTGCTGTATGTTTCTGGGCTTTTACTGCCACTACTGGCTCTTGCTCCACGTCTCGGGCTTCCAGTCGCCGTGGTCCGCCCTGCTCTGCATGCTGCTCACCCGCTCCCTCCTGGCCCATCCCTACATCCATGTCAACATATTCCAGGTAGAGACCTGAAGCTTCAAGTTATCCCAACAGTGCTGAAGACAGGCAAGCCACCACCCAGTGCCCTGATGCTGCTAGCTGGAGCTTGTGTCACTGAAGGCACGTGGGTTCGGTTGTCCCCTCCCTTGTGCTGATGTTGTCACCAGGAGGATCAGGCTGGTGGTGCTGGGTGGGAAGTGGTGGCCCTTGGGAAATGTCAGGGCAGATGAGTGCAAAGGGTGTGAGGATGGTGTCCCCTGCAGTGCTGGCAGGACTAGGGGGCTGATGTGTTCCAGGGGGTGTTACAGGCCCTGGGGTGGGGAGAAGCTGCTGGCTCCAAGTGTGGATGTGCTGGGGGGACAGAGCCTGGGAGTTCTTGGTGGCTCCGTGGGCAAACACAAGATGGGGTGACTTGAGGGACAAACCCAGCTTTTGGGCTGAGAGAGAGACCCCAAAATACGCTCTTTGTGCCCATACACAGGCAGAGCTGCCATGGGCTCTGCTGGGAAGAGACTGGGGAGGTGACAAATGCCACAGGGTGCCCACCCTGCCTCTCCTGCAGCACATTGGCCTCCCCATGTTCGCCGCCGACCGCAAACCCAAGCGGATCCACCTCATGAGCCTGGGAGTCCTCAACCTGCCCCGCAACCCCCTCCTGGACTGGTCCTTCGGCCACTCACTCATCAGCTGCCACGTGGAGCATCACCTCTTCCCCAGCCTCTCTGACAACATGTGCCTGAAGGTGAGGTGACTCCACAGGGTGACTGGGAGGTGACATGGGGACGAGAAATCCCTCTTCCCACTGCCACACCTGTCTGTGCCGCTCCTCCTCATGTTGGAAACCTCTCACTGCTTTGCAGCAGTACCTAACTCATCTCCTGCCATCCCATTCCGGTTTCTCCTGGGTTTCTGCCTTCCAAGTCTAGGATCCTCCCAGTTTTTCCGCTGGGAAAATATCCCCAGTATTGCACAGTTCAGTTTTTGGTTCAGACAGCACCCAGGCAACCCTCCTACTGCTCTGGTCATGCCCTTACTTGCTGCTCTGCGGTGCAGGCTGTGCTCAAAGCGTGGGCTCTGAGCACTGCCCAGCTGGAGGGGATCCCAAGGCAAGTCTGTACTCCACCCTTCAGCACAGGATCGCCACTCAGTGCTGTGCCCTCCTTTTCAGTGTCCTTTCCTTGAGCTCAGGGGCTGCCAGGACCTACCTCCCTCAAAGAGGTGTTGCAGGGAAGGAGATAATTCAGCCTGTGGCAACCTCCCAGTCCCATCACCAAGCTGGCTGTGTGGGCACGATGGGTGTGAATGAGCATTCGTGACTGGCTCTCATTAAAAGCCTCATTAGGGCATCTCTCCTAATTTGGAGCCCTCCAAAGGCGTTTTGCCAGGGTGAACTCCCTGTGATGCTGCAATTGGAAACCACCTTCCTCTTAATATTCACAGCAAAGTTACCACCTGCCTGCTGCAGCCCAGCTTTGGGTGTGTGGGGTGGCTTTTCTGGGCACGTTTCAGGCATCTCGTACAAACACCAGGGCATCCTGCACTGCAGTGACATTACCTCTGCCTCTGCAGATCAAACCCCTCGTCTCCCAGTACCTGAAGCAGAAGAAGCTGCCCTACAACGAGGACACCTACAGCTCCAGGCTCTGGCTCTTCCTGCAGAGATACGAGGAGCTGATGGTGCATGCTCCCCCCATAACGGAGCTGGTTGGCATCCAGTGAGGGGCTGCAGCACTCGGGGGGTGCTTCCCACAGGGACAGTGGGAGGGATGGTTTTAGCAGCACCAACACCTCCATGAGGTCACTGTGTGGGAACATCCCTCCCTGAACTCTTGCTTTTGGCTAGAAAACAGTGCACAGAGCCATAGCAGGGGGAGAGCCGGGCAGTGAACCACCAGGGACAGAAAAATCGGGGTTCCCCCACAGTTATTCCCAGCCAGGGCTTCGTTTTATCCGCTCTGCTTCCACACCTGGGGGGAGGAAGCCACTCCACCCCACCCGTGGGGGATGTGGCACTGCATCCAGGACATGCAGGATCTGCAGGATGGAGCTGCAGGTCGGGGTCTCAGGGAGGGGTGGCTGTGGGGAGGGGGCGGTGTCACTGCTGCTTGTGCTTTGCCTGACTTTGGGCTGAACCAGTCCCTTCTAGAAACAAAGATTTGGCAAGTTCAGCCTTAACACTTTGGGGTGAATTTCCTTTATCATTGTGGTTGTTGTTTTTTTGGTTTTTTGTGGGTTTTTTTTTGTTTTGTTTGGGTTTTTTTTTTTTTTCTGGAGGAATTCTTACTGGTATCCTCTGTGCCCAGGGTGGGAGTGGGGGAAAGACCCTCACCCCAAGGGGGGTGTCTGTGTCGGGGTGCCAGAGGTGGCTGCAGACCTGGTCATTGCTATGGCAAGAATTTATCCAGGGAATCATCTGCCAGAGGCAGGCAGGTGTGCAGGGCTTGGGGGGCTTTCCCTGTGTAAGGAGGGTGAACTCTGCCCCCTGTGCTGCTGCCAGGGGCTGGGATGCTCACATGGCTGGTTCCAGCCACCCGTGGGAAGCTGTGTGTGTCTTCACCAGGCTGTCCCAGACAAAGTCCACCCCAGTGTCACAGTGGGGAGCTGGCAGCAGAAAAGGCCAAACTGGGAGCAGTGTGCCTTTGCTCTCAGCCTGGGGTTTTGCTCTTTGATTTGAGCTGTCCCCCCATCCAGGCTGGACCCCTGTAGTGCCACAGTGTGGATTTATAAGGCTTCACAGGCAAATGTGTCCCAGGGATGCTCTGCCCTGGTCCTGGCCCTCAGGGTGATTGGCACAGCAGGCAATCCATGGTGTTTTACTCCTCTTTTCCTCCACCAAGCCCAGGAGCACCCTCAGATGCTCTGGAGAAGTGTCCCTGTGCTGTGAGGCTGGAGCTGGGATGGCCGTGGCGTCCTTGTGCAGATGATCCAGACTCAGGACAAGGAAGAGTGGCCCAGATGCATCCAGTGTGACCCCTTTGGCATCAGAAACGTTGAATTATTGATTTATCCCGGGCTGGGGCCCAGGGGCTGCTGGTGCACTGATCTGGTGGCATTGCCACCTCTGTCCAGGCCCATGTGGGTCATCGATCCACGATGTTATGAAACAGCTAAAGGGCAAATTCCCATCCTTTGAGCAGGGCTTGGGCTGGGTCTGTAGGCAGGGGAGCAGCTGGAGGGGTATGGCCTGAATGCTCTGGGGGCTCTAAAACCCTCCCCAGAGCCCCCTCCCATTCATTTCTCAATTGAGCATCAGAGATAAGATAAATGTAAAAAATTATTGGCATTCCCAGCTCCAGGAAGTGGATGAGGGACCATTAGAGGTTCTTTTGGTTCAGGCAGGGTAATCTTAACCTCACATGTTCCTATTTTTGGGCACAAAATGCTCTTTTGCCCGCTCCTGCTGCAAAGAGATCAGCCCCAAAGTGTTCCCAGGCATTGGTCAGAGCAACAGCTCTTTTCCCAGCTGGATTTTATGGATGTTCAAAGCAATGACATCTGAAGTCAAGTGTTTGCAGGTCCCTCAGCCGGTGGGAGACAGCCTATGATTTGGGAAATAGATGGATTGTTCCCTGCCAGAACTGGTGGATACAGAAGTTAATGGGAGAAATGGAGAATTCTGGGGGAAAAAAGGAGGATTCTGACTTGTGTGCTTGGAACCCTTCAAATTTAAACCAGCTGCTTGTGTGGATGACTCTGTGGTGATATTTGGAGCCTTCAGCCTTGCCTCTCTGGGCAGGGGCTCAGTGAGTGCTGTGCTGAGCTGAGGATGGGGTTTGGAGCTGTTGGAATTCCTGGTCCTCTCCACAACCCCCTGAAGGAGCGGGTGCAGAAGGAGGCACAGAGCCAGCTGCCATTTCCAGCGTGCCTTTGCAGAAAGCCATTAACTAATTTCTAAGACCAGGAGAGAAAATGTGTGAATTTTATGATCCATATTAACAACCAGCTCCTGGCTGTCAACTCCTCATGGTCTTAATTGCATTTAAAAAGCCCCGTCAAGCACTTGCCTGCGTGCTCTGGCATCTGACCAACTTTAAATGTCTGCTGGGCCTGCTGAGATGATTTTTCTGTCTGGTGTGTTGCGCAGGGGCTGAACCAAGATGGGATGTGAGAGTGTTATAAATTGAGGCGAATAATTTGATTCAGCCTTTTAAGATCAATGAATAATTTTATTAATTACAGCAAGCGATAGCAAGCAAACAGCGCTGGGTGCAGCTGTGTTCCGCCAAAAGCTGACAACCTTTCCTTCTCTTCAGTCCCTTTTTATCCTGCATAAGTGGGGGTGATGGGTCTCCTTCCACCGTGGTTATCAGTTTCAGCAACAATGGGTTTCACAAGTGGTTATCAGTTCCAGCCAGTCCTGCAAAATCTTTCACAATCTTTGTTTGTGGTTACCAGTCAAGCCTGCAAATTCCATGTCCCGACTTCCCCCCCTTTTATCCTAATTTCATACTTTTGATGAACAAACGAGTCAATGCAGTTCCTCACAAGAGCACCAGCATTTGAAATGCGCTGAGAGATGGGGATGAAAGAGGAAATAAAGCAGAGACCATGGGGACGCTGGGGCAGGAGTTCTGTCAGCATAATTTATCCACACTCTCTGGCATTAATGTTTTACTCTTTATCGAAGGACGCTGCGGTTCTCTCCTGGCAAGAGCAGGGTCGCTGTGCAGCGCATGGGTAAAATCAGCCTGAGGTTGGCTTTCCCCAGCAGACCTCGGCAGCTGGTCGCTTTTTGGGCGACAAAGGGCTCAGGCAATTAGCAGCATCCGCGTTAATGATGCTGCGGGAGCGCGGCGGGTACCGCGGCCCTCCCACCATAGAGAGCGGCGGTGCGAGCGGCACTTCCGCCCCCTCCTCTCTATGGTACCCCCGCGCTTCCGGTCAGCCGCCGCGGGAACGGCGAGCTGCCATTGGCTGTCGCGGCCGGGGGCGGGGCCAGCCGGCGGCGAGGAGGCGGGGTTATGCTAAGCAGGGTGCGGTGCCGCCTCGCGATTGGTCGGCGAGGAGGAGGGGCGGGGCCCGGCGGCTGCAGCGGAACCCGGCCCGGGACAAGCGGGGCAGGAGCGGGACAGGAGCGGGATAGGAGCGGGACAGGAGCGGGATAGGAGCGGGACAGGAGCGGGACAGGAGCGGGGCAGGAGCGGGATAGGAGCGGGATAAGCGGGACAGGAGCGGGACAGGAGCGGGATAGGAGCGGGATAGGAGCGGGACAAGCGGGATAAGCGGGGCAGGAGCGGGACAGGAGCGGGGCAGGAGCGGGGCAGGAGCGGGACAGGAGCGGGATAGGAGCGGGACAGGAGCGGGACAGGAGCGGGATAAGCGGGGCAGGAGCGGGGCAGGAGCGGGACAGGCGGGGCAGGAGCGGGATAAGCGGGACAGGAGCGGGACAAGCAGGGCAGAGGCGTCCGGGGCTCCGGGCCCGAGGAACGGGGCAGGAGCGGGACAAGCGGGGCAGGAGCGGGACAGGAGCGGGATAAGCGGGACAGGAGCGGGACAAGCGGGATAAGCCGTGGCTGCGGGCCCGAGGAACGGGACAGGCGGGGCAGGAGCGGAATAACCGCGGCAGGACCGGGATAACCGCGGCAGGAACGGGATAACCGCGGCAGGAGCGGGATAACCGGGGTAGGAGCGGGATAACCGCGGCAGGAGCGGGATAACCGGGGCAGGAGCGGGATAAGCGGGGCAGGAGTGGGATAACCGGGGCAGGAGCGGGATAACCGCGGCAGGAGCGGGATAAGCGGGGCAGGAGCGGGATAACCGGGACAGGAGCGGGATAACCGCGGCAGGAGCGGGATAACCGCGGTAGGAACGGGATAACCGGGGCAGGAGCGGGATAACGGGGGCAGGAGCGGGATAACCGGGGCAGGAGCGGGATAACCGCGGTTATCCCGCCATGGCCGGTGCGGGCAGGCTCCGTGCCGGCCCCGGCCCCGGGCGGCTCCCGTGGCCTCACGCCCTCCCCGCCGCTCTCCCCGCGGCCCTGCGGCGGTGGCTGTCCTCGCCTGCCCCGCCGCCCCGGGTCTGCGTGGTGGGCAGCGGCCCCGCCGGCTTCTACACGGCTCAGCACATCCTCAAGGTACCGCTCGGGGAGGCATCCCTGCCCTGCCTGGCTCTCAGCGGGGTCTGGGTGGTTTGTGGGCTCCTGGCCCTGCTTCAGCCAGGTCGGTGTTGTTGTTGGGCTGCTTGGGGCTGCCCAGAATCCACAAGGTTCTTCTGGGCTGTGGGGTCGGTAGCGCTGCTTTCATCCCTGCTTTCATCCCTGCTTTCATCCCTGCCCATCCATTCAGGACTCAGGTTGGTTGCTGTGAGTTCATCCCAAGTGATTCTTCTAGAATCAGATAATCAGGAGGAATCTGCCTCGCTCAAAGCTGTTGTCACCCAGCAGGAATGACATAAGCTGAGTGTTTAAAAGTGGATCCGTGGGACCTGCTCTCCTCCCTTCTCCTTCCCCAGCAGAATTAAGGCACATGGGTGATGCTTTACCTTGTGTCTGTAAATATCAGTGCTCTGGGCAGTCAGGTCTGTTGGGAATGAGACCTGAACACAGAACTGGGCTAATGGCACCCTGCAGAGATACAGCAGCTTAACCCCATCATTAAACCGTGCTGTGTTGTCTCTGAAATGTGTTGGAAAATAGCTGTTACTAAGCCTCAGGGATGAATTTCAGGGCTGCTTAATCTCGGGAAGAGGCTGACTCAAAATACAAGATAACAAAAGCCTTGCAGCCAAGCATCTGTCTATGGTTCTGACCCTGAGGTGACTGAGCCCAGGCCATCTCAGGGCATGGGCATCTCTGCTGGGGACTGGCAGATGTCTGGCAGGTCCCCCAGCACCCAGGGTGCTGTACTGGCTGCTTCCCAGCTGGCATGGGTGCTCCGTGATCAGCCCCCCAGGTATTGGATGCCCACCAGGTTAGTGTGGAAAAGGAGCTCAGGTCTGGCTAGGGAGATGAAGCCCCGTGAGATGGACTCAATGGTGGTTGGGGTCACTGTGCTACATCTTGCAGTCTGAGCTGGCAGTAACAGGTGCAGCATCATCCTGCTCGTGGAAAAGTCTGGAAGAGGCTGTTCCTGGCTTGCTGCAGCCCATCCTCCTGCCCTGTGTTTCCTCCAGCTGCAGAGGAGTGTTGCTAGGCTCCTGTGACCTTTCTGTCCTCATCCCAGCTGTGACTTTCT